TCGTGATCGACTTGAATAAAATAATTAGAAAAGATTGACATCTTGTTGAGTATGATTAGGATTACGCCTTTAAGTCGTGCATTATATTTACTAACTCTTCTGCCATATCATGCAATAAAAATATATTTGTAATATTTTGTTAAGTAAAATAGCCGCCCCCCCAAAAAGGGCCGCCCGGTGCGACCGCACGCTCGCATCGGCTCTACCGACGGCCCTGGTGAACAAGAAGCTGAGAACATCGAACAGGAGCCTATTAATTTAGGAGGATGCACAATGGGGCTAGTGAGGTCTAAGTGCCCTGGGGTAACTAGTCTGCACAGGTTACAGTTACGGAAATAATTATTTTTTGGCACTTAAAATAATGTATTTTAAAAATTAAAAATAGAATAGTTGCCTTCTTAAACAAACAGCATAATTTTTGAAAAACAGTTTGGTTTTAGGGGACGTCTGTCAACAAACGATGTTTGAAAACTAGTAAACCATCCTATGTGTCTTCCTCACGTCTTTCTGAACTGTAAGAAGACCTTAGCCACTATGTATTACAGGTTTTAGCCAATACATACTACCCTTTATAATTCAATCTTTCTTGATTAATATTAAAATGAATATTTCTCATCGCGGGCGCAAGATAAATCTGAATTCATATTTTTCCAACTTGCGCTTTTCCGTAATCATGTTTTCAATATATTTGTCATCGTTTTCGATTCTTGCCAACAAACACCACCTGGTACAAACATTTTTAATATTGGGGCAAGTAGCGTAATCGCTATCGATGGATCTTTTAAACGACTTTATGAGGGGTAGCCAAAAATGTATTCCTACTAATTATGGCTTGTGTTTCAGAATTAAATCCAAATTGTTATTAAAAAAGAAGAATAATGAATAACGGTCAAGCTTCGTGGGTTTGACATGCGTGATTTTTTCAGTGAACTACTTTAGAAAAAAAAAGTTCACTATTCCATAACATTTACCATTGTCTTTAAAGCCACTGTAATAAATATCGAACAATCATTTTCAATACTTACTTTTTTTACCTAATTACAAAAAATAATCTCACTTAGTTATGAAAACAAAAGTCAGACTATACAGAAAATGCACATCGGTCATTTCAACGTTGCTGTACATATTATGGAAACAAAAAATCAAAAATGGTATAACTATTACATAAAGCAACAAGAAGTTTACTCGGAACGAAAAGAAATCAAAGCAGAATTAGTACAAGGAAGTCTATTGGGAATGGGACCTGTCCTGTATCTACTATACACCGGTAATATTCCGGAACTAGAAAATAATACAATAGCCACATTTGCAGATGACACTACTCGTATTATCTTGGCAGTAGGAGAAGATCATGAAGATGCAGATAGAAAATTGCAGAATTCAATTATTGGTGATTGGATCTGGATCTGTACATATAAATATTACAAAGAAAAAAAAAACACCACTTACAATAAGTAATTCCCAAATAACCTACGCGGATAAAGCTAAACATTTGGGTATTACTTTACATGCAAGGCTGCACTGGAGAGCCCACGTAAAAAAGAAAATCTATTAATAAGATCAATAAAATGTATTGGAGACTTGTCAGATCACAATAAATTACTCCTGTATAAACCGATACTCAAACCAGTATGGACTTATATAGCATTCAGCTGTGTGGATGTGCCAGCAAGAGTAAGATTAAAATAATACAGCGCCTCCAGAATAAAGTACTGAGGAACATATGCTCCTTAGTACTTTAGAAACGGTGACCTTTGCAGCGACCTCGAGATGCACACCGTTAACCAGACCATCGTGAATTCTGCTTAGTGTCACATAAAACGACTTCATAACTAAGCCACCCTGCTTTTCGATGACAGGAATTTGAAAAGAAGACTCTAAAGATAAAACCCTTTGAGTTAGTGAAATAGTGTTAGTGTAAAGCAGAGTATAATGCGACAGATACACACGTTCATATTAATTTACACAAGTTATTAGAGTCTAAGGATTATTATTGAGTATAATTCAAACGTACTTATTTATGTTAAAAGAATTTTACTCATTCACCATCTGTAATCATATTTTAATTATTAGGGTATGTCATTTTTGAGCAACTTTTGTTTTCAACTAAAAAACAGGCTAATAACTCTCAGGAAGGTGAAAAAAGAAGCCTCTAAAAATTTGAGCTCTTAATAATAACATTTAGTAGTGCCTGTTTCTAACTTTCCATTTAAATAACATGGAAAAAAAAATTTCTTTTTTCTTATTTTTGTGTCGATTGGGTGCAAAAATTGGGATCCCAGCATGGGTCTTATAATCCTATGGGCCAATTGGGCGCAAGGATTTAAAGTAATACGGTACGATTTAGCGCAAAGCGGAAGGAACTAAAGTTAGTTAGTCATTTAATATATCTGAATGTATGTATATGACGAAATTTCAAATTATTTATATTGTTATGTGAGTCATTTCATTATTCAGTCATGCTCTAACCCTACAAGTCCCTCTCTGTCTTATTTGGCCTTTGAGGCTCAACTTGTCCGATTATTATACATAATTAAACCCCTTAAGACCAAACCTATGGGACGACTATGGCGGAGGTGATTTCGATGACTATTCGAGAAAGGACGAGATAATATTTAATGGTGAATATAAATAGTGATCAGTTTAAAGACATTCGAAGTATATATAAATTAGAATAGTTGTGTTATAAAATAAATAAGTGTTTAAATAAATTATTAATAAATAAACTGTTGTTTTAAAGTAAACAAACAGCACAATATTTTAAATAAATATATTATAATAATATTTACAGTACAGTCCTAATCCGTGTGCTGTTTAAAAAACTTAACAAAATTTAATTTTACACAAGTTGGCTTTTTAAATTATTTTAAGTCTTTAAAATTGTTTTACTAAAAAATGACCAAGAAAGGTCCGTTTACAAAAAAAATAGAAATTCAGTGAATTCTAATGCATAAAACAAAAGGTACACCTTTATTTCCTCGATCAATTAATTAAAACTGTAATTTTAATGTAATTGGTTTCAATAAAAGCAAACAAATAATTTAAAAATAATATTTATTATCACACTTTATAACTTACAGTTTTTACAAAAGCGTTGCTAGAAATATGTTTTCTTTTATAAAAGTTAATTAAATTTGAAATATATTCTATACGTTTCTTATAATTAGTATTTCTAATTTTCTTTTCAAAATGAACACCATTTAATTTAATAATTTAAGTTTGTGTTTGGACACTTTTTAATTCGTTTAAAAATACAAATATAATTGGATGAGTACAATAAAATTTAGCGTTGAAGTGGCTATGAAACGACTCACATGCATTGGTACTTCTTTCTCTACTCGCCGAACATGAAGCCCATATTTCTGGTGGAAATCTTGTTGCCTTACTGAGATAATAGTCCGTTAAATAATTACAGAAAGCAGTAACCCTAAGGTCTGCAGGTACAGTAGCTATGAGGTCTTCTAGAAAACAGCTAGAAACTTCGGTGACTTCCAAAAAGATGAGGCCAAATGTCCAACGTAACCATTTTCCTATTTCGCTCTTTATGTTGGTGTATTCTCCTTTAAGTCCTAGGTTTTGGATTTTTCGCATCCAAGCTTACGAAATGTGAAACCTGCATCCAATTATTGTAATAATAATGTTGGACCATACAGCCCGTGCCGCCTTGTGTATTGCTTCTTCGAAGTCGCACGTGATTTCAGATGGAGTTAAAGAAATGTTGTCTTTTTCAAATGCATTTATTATTGATCGGAAGACTACTTCGTAACTCTCAGCTTTTTTGTTTTCAACTAACGCAGAAGCTAGTGGAATGTAATATTCATTTCTGACATTATGTATTGTTTCCAATAGCACTGTTTCGCTGTGATCAACTTTTAAAGCAGCCTTGTATTTGCTGTTTGAGTACCTTTACTTCGCACAGTTACTCTGAATTCTATCTTTGCGAAAAATGAAATTATGTAAAACTATGAGTTTTTGACCGCGTTCACTCTTCATGAATTCCATTTTTAAAGTAAAATATTAAATTTAAAATCATCATTTTATAACAACAACCCTGCTATAATCAACAACCCCTTCTCATACCATTGTCAAATTTTGAGAAAATCGGCATGTAAAGTTGTAGGTAAAATTTCTGCACCCTATGGGGTATAATATGGTTGCGCTCAATCGGCATAAACCGGTTTATTTGGCTACCTTTGTCATTTTAGCTCCCAAGTTTGGTCTGCTAAGTTCACACCAGTTCGTAGGAAAATTAAGTTATTTTTGTGCATTGACGCCTATTTTAACTTTAACGTAGGTACTGCAAATTCTTCAACTCTCTACTAAATGTTGATTCACTGCACTTTTCAATGCAGTTTGGTACTCGCTTCCAAATGTATTCCTACAATGCTATACCTAAAACTTTTTGGAACAGTAACTGTAAAATTTTCCAGATCAACTTACTGCACTTTTAAGTATAAAAGTCGTATCTGATAATACGACTAATAATGCTAAATACTTCAGAAACGGCAATTTGTTTAAAAATACAGCCCAGTTTGTAGAGATGACAATTAGTGTTAAATGTAAAACATGTAAAGAATGATCCACAAAAAATGTTTCTAAAGTGGGCCATATCCGACAAAAACATGATAACTACGTACGCCTCTGAATTAATCCAAACTGACACTTAAAAAGAAGAACTATACGCTCAACATACATGAATTTTTCCAAGATCTTTTTGTGGATCACTACTTATTTCTGCTGCAAATAACTTTACACATTAAAAATACGATGTTCTAGAGTCGAACTTTTACAAAGAAGATATTATCTCCAATACAGCCAAAAATGCAGATACCTACGACTTTTATGCTTAGAAGGACAGCATGCGGACCGGCAAAGTAAACATTTTCCGACCTCAATAAAAAATTCAAACCACCCCCGTAATCCGAGCTAGCCTCGAACCAACCAAACCGTAGTAAAATGCTATGTACATAGTAGATATATATCGGTGTGTTATTCTCCAGAGCCGCGGTGCGGTCCTATGACTGGGGCGGGGGGAGAGCCGCTGCCGATGCAGTCGACCATCTCTCCCGCAATGACGGAGAACGACCTGCCTCAGCCTCTGGTGGTGAGGAGCCCCTCGGTCTCTATGATGAAGTGGCCCACGCAGTCCCCCACGAAAACGACACCGAACAGGCAGGTCAGTGATTTCAAATTTTTTCACTATTTCTCTTTTTAATTTCTTATCCTATTATAATCGCAATGCCGTAATAAACTTATTCAATGCATGGTTTGGAAATATTGCATGTATGCACTTTCTAACTATAATTCATGTTTCAAGATTATGTTTTTGCATTTATACGACACACGGAGAAAAAATGATTTCATAACAAAAAAAGATGTAAGAAGAAAAAAATGTATTTTCTACACACACATGGATATTATCTTTTCTACGCACAGACTACAAAACGAAAAAATATGGTATTGTGTTTAACTGAACGAATATATTTCATATCCATTCTAGGTAGTGAGAACACTGTAAAAAAATTAAATCCACCAATCACAGTTCATATTTTGTCTACACCCACATGGATATTAACTTATCTAAGACAGACTACAAAACGAAAAAGTATGCTATTACGTTCAACTGAACGAATTTAGTCCATATTCATTCTAGGTAGTGAGACCACTGCAAAAATATTAAATCCACCAATCACAGTTCATATTTTGGTCAACTGGCTGCTATAGTTTTAAATAAGTGACAATTCTGTCAAACTAATTGTCAGTATATTTTTTGGTTATTGAGATTAAATATACATTAAAATGAGTTATTCTTATGTAGAATCGATAAATAATAGCATTTCTATTTTAATTTCGTCTATAATTATAAATAATTTGTTAATTTAAATAAAACTATATGAGGTCACCGCACTTGCCTTTCATGTGGAAGGCCCGGATCCAAATCTCGGACGGTGACAAATTAAATTAAATCTTTTTTTCCTGTTCTTTTATTTTATAAATTAGTAAAAGTCATAAATAATTTTTAAACTATTTATTTTATCTTAACCTAAAATAATTTTTAATATTTGTAGATTTTCGTTAGTGGGTCGTAGAAAAATATACTGTACAACTCGAGTGAATTGTCCATATCCACTATTGTTGCACAAACTACTATTTCCTAATTATAACATTAAAAACTGGAATTATCAAAACTAGATGAGATAGTGACTTACCTAGTAGTCAAAGAGCTCTAGCTGTCAATTCGAAAAAAGTGTTGAAGACAAAGCTGAAAAGTAGATTTATAATTTTTTTCATTGATGTCTTCGATTTCGACAACTTAGCCGATTAGCCTTGTGTTCTGTGTAGGTTATACTCTATATATTACTCCTTAAGCTATTTTTGAACAATATTTGATCTCTCGTGCAATTTTTGAACAATGTTTTATCTCTTAAGAAATGTCTACTATTTCATCTCTGAAGCAATTTTTAACAACTATTTTAATTTCTCTGGCAATTTTTAAACAATATATTTTACACTTCAAATGGAACATACGCTGAAAACAGTACTAAATTTTGCTTTGAGTGTACTAGAGTACCAGATTCTCATTGAATGTACTAGATCTATTAGAATTGTACTAGACTGGTAACACTGCCTGCAAGTAATCAACAATAATTTCAAGCACTTTTTGAATAATTAGCGCTTGTTAATTGAATTGTGCGATTACTTTCCTCGGTAATGTTTAATGGATGATATATGCAATGCCTTATCAACTCCACAGAAAGGCTCGGGGCCTGTCAAGGCCTTATCTGAACCTTTTCTAGCTAGTTTATCTTATTGCTCTGTTTGTAAGCCTCAGTATTCCCATTGCGACTTACCCAAATTACACCAGTGGCGTGTCTGAGCATTTTTGTTATTGGTTCACTTAAAAAATCCACCCGCTTCTATCTTAGTTATTATTTTTTGTTGAGGTATTGAAATGATTTTTTTTGTTTGAGAACTTGGAACTTTCTTATAGGTAACAGATTCAATTATTTTGTGTCGTCATCACTTACTTCTAGTTTTTTCTACATCACCATTAATTTTTTATTTTTATTTGTATATAAAATTTAAGAAATCTTGTATTTTGTTTTATAATAATTTGCGGTTAAATACTATTTTCTTTTTGTTGTATTATTCTCCTATCTTAACTTTCTATGATAATTATATTATAGGTTTATTAACTTGATTAATTTTATTTTTAATAACAAATTATAATACACGTTTCTTATAAAAAAATAATGAAGATTTATATTTGGTAAACATTAAAAATGTATTATTTACTGTTATTTCCGACAAAAATGGAATGTAAGCCATGACGTCTCAGATGTCATCATAAAAAGTAATTAATAACGAAGATAAATACTTTTTAGTGGCCCATCCTGGATATACGCCTGGCGGCCACTAGTAAATGCCAGAATCTCCGGACAGCTGTAATATCGTTAATAGAATAATTCAAAGAATATGTCTAAAAAGTTTTAGCCTTGTAGAAGCATGTTAATTTTAATTTTTTTTACATTTTCAAAAATTTAAATGTAGATATCGGTAACGTGGTATCTCTGCCAGGTTTATTTCCTTTTTTAACTGATATTGGGGTCTATTCTGTAACAATTCCTTTATATTTAACGGCCTTTAAAAATATTGGCGGCCTTTAAAAACATTTTCGTATTCGTTAATTTACTTCTGTCATTACTTAAACAGATTTCTTTAAGATAGTCCTCTAATGTATTTCAAATATCTGTTTAAATAATGACAGAAGTAAAGAAGAAAATATTTAACGGCCTTTAAAAATATTGGCGGCCTTAAAAATATTTTCGTAATCGTTAATTTACTTCTGTCATTATTTAAACAGATTTCTTTTAGATAGTCCTCTAATGTATTTTAAAGATCCGTTTAAATAATGACATTTTAAAGGCCGTTAAATATAAAGGAATTGTTACAGAATAGACCCCATTAAGTTATAATATCCACACATTTTCAGCCTTGTGTTCAACACGTTATTCAGAATGACCGCTGGCTCTCAGTCTATAGGCACGTGCGTATGGATTCTTTAAAACCTTAAGGTTCCATCAATAAAATATGTAGATTCTGGAGCTGGCGGATAAGTGTTTATCGATAAAAGTAAAATGGGAAGAATAATAAATGTTCATGAATAAACAATTCAACTCCTGGCAACCAGGGTTGACGATTACAAGGTGAAGTGGGTTTAATTATTACCTTCAATTCAAACTGTCACAAAATTAAATTTCAAGATATAAAAATATAAAAAAGGTACAAGTTACTACAGGGTGTACAGCAAATTTGGCTTTAAAATAGTAGTTTGTGCAACAAGAGTTGATATGATGGCTATGCACGAAGATGGAGTGCTCAATCGTTTATGTGGGATACAGATAATCCAGTCGAGTTATATATTTTTCTATGACACACTAAATAAAATTACAAATCGTTATATCTGTCTATACCAGTATTTCCCAAAGTGGTCCAGGTGGACCCCCAGGGGTCGACGGGGTCTACGTTGGGCGTAATAAAAAATGGGGGTCAACAATCGTAAGCGAAGGTGCATGAAAATTAATTTGGTTTTGATAGTGAAGCAATACTATTAAACAATTGATTACTCTTTTTTCCATGTGATGAAGAAATTCTTGTAAAAAACTTCAACTGTTTATAATATAAACAGTCAACATTTTAGTTACTAAAATGTTAACTTGACTTCTCGTATAGGCATATAATATTTTAAGAAGCTCAGCAACTGTTACTTGTAAAAACTTGCATATTCCATATTCAATACAACGCGTCGAGACTTGTCGTTGCCGCGCCGGCCGCCGTCCCGTCCGCAACGCTTGTTGAGACGTGCAAATTAATACGACTTGTGGTGTATGTGCTTGCAATCTTGCATGAACGTGTTTGATTCTTCACCAATATAAATACGAATGTCAAGGATAATCGTTACTCATTTGTTTCTGGAATTTCATAAAGAAAAGTGAATCGATATTAGTGTTGGCCAGTGACTGAATTTGTTTCCAGACTTTCGAAAAGAAAAGTAAAGTGAATCGATATTAGTGATTGCCAGTGTCGGAAAAGTAAGTACCTACCTCCCTTTTTGTTATATGCCTATAGTTTTAAGCCGAGAAATATTGAACTTATCATCCCTACTTTATTTTTATTACCTATCTAATTCATTTAATTATTGCGGAGTTTTGATATTGAAATATTGTTTAAAAGTTTCTATAGAATTTACAGAAATATATTAAAATATAATAAATGAAATAATATTTTTATATCACATTAAAATAAGTTCAGCCGTTTTCATAAAACTCTATTATGGATCTTAGCGATTTATTGCTTTTAATAATTAGAAACAGTTTGCAGCCGGAACTTTGTTTATTTCATAATATTTATAATAATTGATTAATCATATTATGTTAAAATAGCCATATCCTGTTTATTTATTTACTTACACATTTACAGGTAGGTAATTGATACAAAACATGGCCAATCTAAGAAGAAGTGTCGTCAGTACAGTGTTGAATATTTAAAATTTGGTTTTCTTCTATTAAAGGCAGACAAATGATTGCCCACATGCCTTTTATGCAACAAAGTTTTGAGCAATGACTCTATGAAACCATCAAAGCTGGAAGATCATCTAAGAAGATGTCATCCTGATAAAATAGGTAAAGATTTGAAATATTTCCAAACATTAAAGGAAAAATATGAAAAAAGCCCCACCGTGCACAGTATGTTCTCTTCAACGTCTGAAAGCAACGATGATGGCTTGAGGGCATCTTACAATATCTCATTACTTATCGCAAAATCTAGAAAACCGCACACCATTGGAGAACAGTTAATTTTATCTGCTGTTGAAGAGGTTTTAAAAACTTCTGCACAAATCTTCATTTGACATACTCAAAAGAATTCCTTTGAGTAACAACACTGTACAAAGACATATTGATGAAATGAACTCTGATGTTGAAAGTTTCTTGTGTGATTATCTATGAACAACTCATTTTTCTATTTAACTGGACGAGTCAACTTTACCTGGCAATGAAACATTATTATTGGCATATGTTCGATTTGTTATGGGCGAAGAAATTCATGAAGAGCTACTATTCGTGAAAACTTTGAAGACGGACACTAAAGGTGAATCAATATTTAATGTTTTGAGTG